ACATTGGAACAGGCTGCCCAGGGGAGTGGTGGAGTCCCCATCCCTGGAGGTATTTAAAAGACGTGTAGATGAGGCGCTGAGGGACCTGGTTTAGTGGGCCTGGTGGTGTTGGGTCGACGGTTGGACTTGATGATCTTAGAGGTCTTTTCCAACCTTAATGATTCTATGATTCTATGATCAGAGCATCACATGTGTTCCTCCAGCACACCTCCGCGTGCTAATTCTGGATGTTCAGGTCCAGGACAAGGCTGCTCAGCTGTTTCGATGTGTGCTACGGCCTAGAGGAACAATGGGAATGGGTAAGATGATGGAAGAAATGGCCTTTTACTTGATTTTGCAGCAAAGCTCCCGCTTGCTCTTCCTCTCGAGTGAGCTGTGGGTCAACAGAAACGGTTTCTGAATGAAGCTGACTTGGAAGGGCTGTTGGGAAGGTTGGCACTGGGATGCTCCTTCCAAGCAGGGCAATAGCACCGAGACAGTCGCAGCAGCAGGATCAAACCTGGCATCCTGCTATTTTATGCTGTCAGACAAGAGTTTCATCCTATTGTGCTCAATCTTGGAAAAAACAATTGATTTCTGCACTATTTGAGAGGACAAGAGATTTTCTAATTATTTAACGCTGGTTCTCTTTATAAGAGGCATTTGACTTGTAGCCTCAAACCCCTCGAATGACTCCATCCTTTCAATGTTAGCACGCAGAAGTACACATTACACACTGTCACTGTTAATCCACGCTCTTGACCAGCAGATTTTATACCTACTGGCGAAAGATTCAGAAACATCCATCTGGTGAATTCAGCAACATGGGTTGGATAAAAATAAGTTGAACTCGATTCAGAATCCCTTCGGTTCCCTGTCTGTCGTTCAGAGGCTCCCAGGTTTTGTCAAACCGGTGCCATCCGGCAAGTCAAAGCTCTGCCACTCGCGGCAGCGAGTCCCCCTCACCCCCAGCTTCCATGGAAAATTTCAGCAGACTTTGCAGCTTCCCTTTATTCCTGGCAGGGATAATCAAAACCTTGAGGTTTTTGCTGTTTTGCCTTTTAACTTCCAGCAGTTAGTGTTTATACTTGCAGATGAAGATGAGATCTTAATGTTTCCAAAACACAAAACAAGAAGTTAGAAGTTTTCTGACTACGGAGAGGTTTGGAAACAGTTTTCCAACAAGAGCAGTTACTCTAGTTCTTTTAAAAGGGTGTTAACTAAATTACACGAAGATATGCCGATGGCATACTTCGGTATCAGTGGATCGGGGCGTATTTGGAAACAAGAAATTAAAACTCAGAACATTCTGGCCACAAATCTGCAACTTTTTTGTAAGTGGAAGAATCAGTAAGGTTGGAGCTGTAGGAAGGCTTAGGGCTGTCAAGTACTGGAAGGACAACACGCGGCATCGCCAGCCCCCTTCTCCTGCCCTGCCGCGGGCACCTGTGGTCACAGCAAACCGGAGACCGAAACTCAGTCAAGCTAAGACCAATCTACTGAAGAAAAATGCAACCCTCCAAAAATGTTTTTTCACCCCAAAGCAGTTCCTGTACCACAACAGGCTCCAGACCAGTTCTCATGCACAGCCAAATGGGACAAAAATAGATTTAATCTAGTTCTGAGCCTGGAGTTCCAGCTGAAGCAGGAGATGACACTAGGAGAACGTTCATGTGGTTGATAGCTATTAACGTACTGTCATTTCTCCCTCACTTGCGACATCCTAAATAGGCTAGTACCAGGAATTTCAATAATCTCGCCGAGACAAGTCTTCCCAACAGATTTTCACAGAATCACAGAATTGTTTGG